CTTCCTTCCTTCCTTCCTTCCTTCCTTCCTTCCTTCCTTCCTTCCTTTTCTTCTTCTTCTTCTTCTTCTTTCTTTTCTTTCTCTCTCTCTCTTTCTTTCTTTTCCTTCCTTCCTCTCTTTCCTTTTTGTTACAGAATATTTTATCTCATTGTGAACCCCAAAACTGTGAACTCTAAAACCCTGTTTCTTTGGTGTGGTTGAGCCCTATCACACACCTTTAATCCAAGAGCTTTCTGTACACAGGATTTAATAAAGTTAACCCTAGGTCAAGAGGTAGAGCAAGAAACCAGCTGACAGGGATTAGAGACTAGGAGAGACTTTGAGTTTAGGGGTATTTAAGACAGTGTGGAGAAGAAACAGAGCTTTTAGTTCTAGCTCTGGCTTTAGCTTAGGCTTCAGCTCCTCAGCTCTTTGGCATTTTTGGCTTTGAGCTAGCAAGCCTTTGGCTTGGGTGTTTTGGCCTTTTCCTCCTGGGCTGTCAATTGTACTAGTGAGCCTTTTGGGTTTTTTCCATCCATCCAGACCTGAGCTAAGAAGGAAGGTCAGCTGGATGCTTTCTCTGCCTCTCTGAGCTAGCAGGTTTTCACCCCAGCATCTGGCTCCTGAGTCTTTATTGGTAAAATAGAACAGTTGGAATTTTCATTTTTGATTGCGAAAATAGCTTTTCTTTTTTTCTTCCAGAGAGGGTTTTTCTATATTACTTTGGCTGTCCTGGAACTCACTCTGTAGCCCAGGCTGGCCTGAAACTCAGAGACCCACCTGCCTCTGCCTCCTGAGTACTGGGATTAAAGGCATGTGCTACTACTGCCCAGCAAGGAAAGCACACAATTCTAATTCCAGCATTTGGGAAGCTGATGCAGGAGGCACAGGAGTTCAAGGTTAGCCTTGGGTATGTATCAAGTGCAAGGCTATGTCTCTGGAGTAGGGGGTCGTTTTTAAGAGCAAATACCATACACAGGATATAAACATAAGTGCAGGAAAAATGGCTCACTGGTTAAGAGCATTTACCACTCTTACAGAGGGGCTGTGCTTGGTTCCCAGCACCCACATCGAGGCTCCCAACTATCTATAACTCCAGTTGTAGGGGATCCAATGCTGCCTTGTGACCAGAGTGGGCACCAGGCACATACATGCATACAGGCAAACACTCAACACATGAAAATAAAAATAAGTTTATATAAAAAGAAAATGTCATTGCAATACACTTACTGGCTCAATTAAACATTGTTTACATATTCCTATCAAAACAGGATGTCAAAAGGCAACTTTCCCCTCGCCCCCAGTAATGAGGATCAGAGCCTGGGCATCGTACATTCCGGGTGAGCACTACACAACTGAGCCACCTCCATCTCTACATGAAGCAGGTGAGTCAAGACAAAAACAGCAAAACTGAAGATGGCTTGTGGTGGTGTACACTTTTAATCCCAGCACTCGGGAGGCAGAGGCAGTCATATCTCTGTGAGTTCGAGGCCAGCCTGGTCTACAGGGTGTTTCAGGACAGCCAAGGTTACATAGAGAAACTCTGTCATGAAAAACCAAAAAACAGAAAACGAAAATCAAAACCAAACCAACCAACCAACCAAACAAACAAAAAACAGTGAAAACGATTGTTTAAAACCCTAGGGCAACAGCAGAGGAACAGCTCTGATATCCAAAGTGACACACAGACTCTGCTCTGTGGAGCAGCAAGGGGCACTGACTGGTGCTTGTCAAAGCTGGTGTGGCATTAGTCCACCTTTATACCACATGCATTTTGATATGATAAAACTAATGGGAAACTAAGAGCTCTTCAGAAATCAAAGAAGGATCCACTGACCTTTTGTCTTAGTTCATGTGTGTCACTGGAAATGAATTCAATCATGTAGGGCATCTCAATGGACATATCCAGGGAGAAGCTACCGGCAATGAAGAGGTTGTATTAGTACAAGATCTTAAGTCCCCACTTGCAGTTGTTTCAAATAATTTGTCTTCTTTTGCAACCCTGGGAATTGAAGTCAGAGCTCCATGCTTACAAGTAAGCATTCCAGCCCTGAACTATACACAACCCTCCAACAACTGTAAGAGAAAAGGTAAGCTATAAAGCCAATGCCCATTGGATGAATTAGTTCACAGGATTTATATTTTAGGTACTAACCTTTGCTTTGCTCCAATTTCCTTTACACAGATCTTCTCCACTGTGTCCTGTTAGAAGAAAAGTATAAGTGAATAATAGTTTCCGTTACATTTCAGGCTACTAAGGTGATCTCAGCCAGGCACAGCTGACAGCATCAAGTCTCATTTCCAAGCAGCGAGACTCAGAGCTCTGGGTTCGTAGGTGTAGGTGTGCAGTGCCTAAGAAGGCCAGAAGAAGGTGCTGAATCCCCTGGAACTGGAGTTACAGTACAGACACTACAGGCACCATGAAGGTGCTGGGAACTTCTGTAATAAGAATTTGAACGTCTGTAAGAAGAAGTGCTCTTAAACACTGACCAATCTCTCCAGTGTCCCCCTCCCCTTTATTTTATTTGTTGGTTTTTTGAGACAGAGTCTCACTACGGTGCTCTGGCTGTCCTGGAATTCACTATGTAGACCAGGCTGGCCTTGAACTCATAGATCTGCTCACCTCTGCCTCCCAAGTGCTAGGATTAAAGGCATGTACCACCTGGCTTGCATCCAACCTCATCTTAAGCACACCCACCTGAAGGTTCTCATTCAAAGCCTTGTCCTGTTGCCAGGGCGCTACAGTGGCAGGCATGAAGAAGATGGCCACGGGGCTTTGGATGCTGAGTTCCGTGATGTAGGTGATTTTGATGAGAACCTTAGCCCGAGGGGGTAAGTTTCCGACACTTACAGTGAAAACATCCTGAAACACAAACAGCTACTCAAGAGCATATCCTCTCTCTGCTACTTAATCCTTTGTGTTACCAAAGTGACACAATGACAACCAGCCAAGTTCTTCCCCAGAAAACGGTGGTATACTATTCTTAGTGTGAACAGGAACTCTGGAGCAATCCCCAGGGGACACGGTCCTATCTGTGGGAAGCAGGGGAGAGGATGGCCGCTGAGAAGGTTGCTCAAGGGACTCCACGCCCCAGTCATTTACACTTGGCCATGTGGGTGTCTCCAGGCAAACCCTTCCTCCAGGGACCTGTGGCTTCTCTGACCTTAATGGCAGCTGGCACCAGCGCCCCAGTGGTTGCAGAAAGCAGCATTCTCTAAGCTTGCACTATGCTTAATTTGCTCATTAGAATTGTACTTTTAAAAGCATTTAACATTCTTCAAATGGAATATTGATAATTACTGTAGACACTGGCAGTCTAATGAGCAGCTAAGATAGAAAAATAAGAGAAATTAGACCTTTCACTCCTTTCCCTCTTTCCTTATGTCTCTCTCTTTTCCCCTCCTTCCCTTCTTTCATTTATTTCCCGACAGAATCTCGTATATATCGGAGGCCGGCCTCAAACTCATTATGTGGCCAGGGTGACCTTGAACTCTGACCCCTGCCTATACTTCCTGTGCTGCACCATGCCTGCTTTGTCTGTGCTAAATGGGACCCAGGGCTTCATTTGAGCACCCACCAGCTGAGCTACTGGTACAGGAGAAACTGAGAATAATAAATTGAGTCATAAAGCATCTACTAAGACTGTTCAGGAAGTATGAAGTCCCACAAAGTAGAATTTAGCTAAATGAGTATCCCTGCCTCTGTTATCATCAGGATGAGCACAATTCTGCCAGACAAACAGCACAACCTTGGTTAACGCTGCCTGGGAGAAGCAGCTTGCTCTGTCTCGGGGTGACCATGACAGTATTCTACATCGTAAATCTTCCCATTTGTCCAAAAAACCAAACCCTGGAAATTCTGTCTCTGTGAAACATGTTTAATGACTCAAAGTAAAATTTGGGGGTGTGAGAGTACATGAGCTGATACGGGTTTCTGTTCAGGGCTGGCTCCCTTTTGTGCATTAGCCAGAGCCAGTTGTGCACTGTTATTAATTTATCTTATTTATTTATCTCTAAGTGCTGGAGTGATTTCTCACTCGAAAGTCATGTTAAATCTGTAGCATTATGAGCCCAGCTGTTCTAGAGAGACCTTTTTTCCTGATATCTACAGAGCTCCTCTCAACATCTCTAATGATATTTGACATTCTACCACTATGAAAAAAAAATTAGCACATGGATTAGAAGATTAATGATTAATTTAGGCTTGAAGTATTAAGTTATTACTTGTTGGAGTACATTGTGTGGTGTGTCTCTGTATATTCAATGTTGATTGCTAAGCCAGCAGAGAGCTAAGTACTAGCCAGATCTGGGTATTGTTATTTCTATGGCTCATTACTGGTCTTATATTTTTTTAATATTCGTCCTTCCTCACTTGTCTATTGGTTGAAACTAATGGCCAATATCTGGGCATAAAGTGGAGGGTAGAAGGAGAAAGAGAGAAAGGGAGAGAGAGATGCTGGGAGAAGAAAAGAGGTGCAGGAGATTTGCCAGTAGAGAGAAGGCAGACTAGAGCAGAGCAGAGAGGTAGAGCTCGCTGTTCCATGGCAGGATGTAGTTCCAGGATTAGCTGTTAAGTGAGCTGGCTGCCTGGGAGACTGTCCTAGCTAAAAGGCCTAAGCTATAAAATATTCAAAAGCCTCTGTTTCATTACTTATACCACCTGCAGCTCCAAAGGTCCCACAATGATTACTATTTTGTTTGTTTTTAAGCTTATTTTGTGTGTGTGCGCATGCTCACAATAAGGTGTGTGAACTGTATGTATGATGTATGTGTATGAGGTGTGTGAGTGTGCACGAAGTGTGTAAGTGTATGAGTGTGGGTGTGAAGTATGTGTGAACGTGGGCACGTGTGTGCTATAGTACAGATATGTACATGGGTGTGAGCACTGCCTTCCATGTACGCATGTGGAGGTCAGACGACAAATCTGTGAAATCCATTTTCTCATGCTGCCTTTACGTGGGTTCTGTGGACTTCAAATTGGGGAGGGAGGTCAAGCTTATATAGCAAGCACTTTTACCTGCTAAACTGTCTCACCAGCCTTACGTTGGTGCTTTTGACATTAAGTATACCCCTCCGTAGGAAAGCAGGAAAACAACAAAGGGCAATAATTAAAGGACTCATAGTGCCGATCCTTAAAGTGTATGGACAGGGGCCCTGGAATGGCTGAGATGGCTTAGCAGGGGAAGGCATTAACCGTCAAGCCGACAGCCGAGTTCAGTCTCCTGGGTCCATACGGCAGGAGAGAAGCAGCTCCAGAAAGCTGTCCTTTGACCTCCACACGCCCACTGTGGTGTGAGCGTGCACACACACAGAAAGAGAGGTTAAAGCAGCTTTCCCTTAGCTCCGCATTAGCCTTTAGTGGGTTCTTCCCTCCACCAAACATTACATTTCTAAAAGATCTTACAGGGGTGCCACCTGGGTTATGACTTGGTGAAAACTGGACGCACTGATAGGTGAGTTAAGAACTCACCTATGTAAACACGCTACATTTTACAGTCGAAGATGAAGCGGAGTGCTCCAAATGTGTGCCTTACTACGTTACCAGTCCTGGCAGCTCAGGCCTTAGTGGCAGCGCCAGCACTTCCTGTTTCCTACAACACCGGCTTCGCTTCCTCCTCTATTTAGATAACTCACAGGGGTACGGCTGGCTTGGCCTCCCATATTTATAAAGGCTTTTTCTTGGTGTGTCTGAGACACAGTCTTGCTGGGGAGCTCTGCACTGCCTGGAGCTCATGATGTAGACCAGGTGGGCCTTGAACCTGCAGCATTTCTCCTGCCTCTACCGCTCAAGTGCTGAGGTTATGGCGTGTACTGTGTGTGGCATTTAAGAGAAATCTTAAAAACCCAGAGTGCTGGAAATGATCTTGGTTTCTAGTATGTTGTCCTGTTTCAAATTTCCCATAACACACTGCAGGATGAGTAACGGGCTGTACCGGAGTGTCCTGGTCCATCAAGTAGGCACCGTGGCCCTGGCTGATGGCCTCTCGGTATTCCTGTTGGGCTTCTTCCTTCTCCTTTATCTGGAAAAGACGATAATTATGATGATTTTGTTGGTTCTGATTTTTTGAGGCAAGGTCTCACTTTGTTCTAGACCAGTCGGGAAGTCACCATGTATCCCAGACTGGCCTTGAACTTGCAACAATTCTCCCACCTCTGTTGAGATCACAGGCGTGCCCAACTTTGGGAAAGATTCTTAAAATGCTCATTGTAGGAAGAGTGACTTCAGACTTTAATAAGGAAAATGACACCAGTATGTATTATAGCCTCGGCAAACCCAGGATGAATGAAAACTTACATAAACGGGTCACCAAAGTGTACTGCCGAGCTGGGTGTGGCACATGCCTGCGATCCCAGCATTTAGGGAGGCAGAGGCAGGCAGATCCCTGTGAGTTTGAGGCCAGCCTGGTCTGCAGAGTGAGTCCAGGACAGCCAAGGCCACCCATGGAAACCCTGTCTTGAAAAACCAAAGAAAGAAAGAAAGAAAGAAACAAACAAACAAAACTAGTATTCTGCCTAGTAAAAGTCTGGATTAGAAAGGCCAACTGAAGAGAATCCTCCTTACACTAGGACCAAACTCCAGCCAGTAGTTGAATACAGGAAGTTTGGAACAAAAAAGTTTATTTAATTTATTGTTTTAAAAATAGTGATTTTTCTCTCTTCCTTTCTTTTCTTTTTTAAAAACTGGGTCACTATGTATCTCTGGCTGATCTGGAACTCACTGTGTAGACCAGGCTGGCTTTGAACTCACAGAGAGACACCTGCCTCTGCTTTCTGAGTGCTGGGATTAAAGGCGTGCCTCACCACATTGGAACCAGGGTCCTCAGCATGAGAAGGGAGCGCTTTTAACCACAGAACCATTCTTCTCTATTCTAAATTTAAACTTTATTCTAAATTTAAAACATCATGGGTTATAACTGCAACTGTAGGCTACTTTTTAGGACAGAGCCGGGGCCTGTGGAGGCCAAACAAGGCTCTAGCTACATACCTTAGAGCTAGACGCCTAGCTTCAGTTACTTTTGGGGGAACATTTTTTTTTTTTTCTGATAAAGTTCACTTCTGTTAGGTAGGATTCATATTGCAAACGTACATAAGAGCTATGAAGCTGGGTGTGGTTGTGCACACCTTTAACCCCAATATTCAGAGGCTGTGGCAGGACTTGTTGCCGCTTCAAAGTTAGCCAGGGTTCCAGAGTGAGTGTGAACTCAGCCCGGGCTGCACCATGAAAGCTGATCTTAAAAAACTGTATGTCTGTGTGTCTTTTATCTAAATGTAACACACATGTATGCTTCACCGACTTTCAACTGTGCTTGCTTTAAACCGTGCTGTCCAGGCTCTAACTCACTAACAGCAAGGCTTACTCCTCAGCCTCCCGAGTGCTAGTATGGAAGCCTATATCCCTATGCCCTCCTCTGTCTCTTAAACTTTGGATACTGAAATAACTTCCTTTGTGGCCAGCGAGATGGCTCAGTGGGTAAAGGCATATGCCATTATGCCTAATGATGTCAATTTGATTCCAGGGACCCACAGGTCAAAGGAGAGACCTGAGTAAAAGCTGTTCTCCAACCTTCACGCGCAGGCTGTGGCACGCATACATGCTCGCATGTGCACACAGACAAACAGAAACACAACCAAAGGAGATAATTGTCTTTGTTTAAGTTGTCTAAAGGAAGACTTTCTGAGAGAATGGTGAAGACTGTGGAGGGGCCCATCAGTGGAGGTTGACTGTATGAGGCCATTCCTCAAAGACTCTTTTTGGTGTCTTCCCAGCCTTACTGCACGGGTACTCAGAGGAAGAAGATTTGGGTTTACAAGTGCTTTTGCTTCTCACCTCGCCCACGATGTGTTTCCCGTTGATGAACGCCTCGAAGCCACACACGGCTGCCTTATCATCCAAAGGAAAGATATATTTTGCCTCAATAGGCACGTGACTTTGGTTCACGTACGTCTGAAAAACAATGACCTGAAAGAGGAAGGGAGAAAAAGTCATATAATTGATAAAATCACATGGAACATTTAATGAATGTTTAAAGAACAACTAACGAAAATAATTACACATATCCATTTTAGAATTCTAAAATTTGTTGCGTTTTGTTTTTTGAGACAGGGTCACATGAACTTGTTCCTGAAGTTGACCTTGAACTCTGGGTCCTCCCGCCTTCCCTCGCCTCCCGAGTGCTGGGATTACAGGTGCACAGCTGGCCACAGCTTAAATCCCTTACACTTTTAACATGTCCTCCAATTCCCCAGGCCGGACTTTCTGGGGCCGGATGACTTCCACACCCGTAACCCAGCGCAGCAGCGCAGATTTAGGCTGCGGTGTGTGCCTGACCCGTGAGAGTCAGAGAGCCCTCCCATGCTAAGAATTTTGCTGCCTCCCAAGTGTCACGTGTCTCGGAACTTCTGGAACACAGACAGTGCTAGCCCACTGATGTGGCCATATCCCAATAAATCCATAATAAGCTAAAAATGTGAGGAATAAATTTAATGAGTAAATCTTAGAATAACATACGATTGGTCTTCTATATTTGTGGATGCCAGTTCCATAATGGATTCCACCAACTACAGATAGAATATTTGGGGAAAATCCACGTGTCTGTATTAAGTACTTAAATTAAAAATAAATTTTCCCTGCCATTAAGTGAGTGACATATGTATTTCATTTAGTTCATATAACCGTAACCAGATTCTTATTTATGACTAATACTCATTTGATTGTGTGTCATAAGACCACAGAAAGCATACCTGGGCTACAAAGTCTATTATTCTTCCTTTGATGTGAACACTGTCGAGAGGGACAGCATTCGCAGCTGCGTCCTGAAGGCCAGCTTTGATACTGGAGAAAGACTTGATGTCTGGCAACTGGAAATCTGCAACTCACAAACACAGCACTAGCTTCAGAACAGTCACGTCTCTGTTCTTATCATCATCATCCTTAATACCTGTTCCACCATTTAGACATTATATTTTTGGCAAAGATGGGAAAATAATATTTACTCATACTAGTCTATAAGTTTTTTTGTTTCGGATAAGCTATCCCTATGTTGCTAACCTAGTCTACTTTCAAACTGGAAAGTTGCCTGTCTCCACCACACGAGTGCTGGGATTATAGGTATGCGAAACCTCAAACAGCTGTTATTTTATTTATAGTTTTAAATTTTTATTTATTTATTATGTATTCAAGTTCTGTATTCCTACAAGCCAGAAGAAAGCACCAGATCACATTATAGATGGTTATGAGCCACCATGTCGGTGCGGGGAATTGAACTCAGGACCATTTGGAAGAGCAGACAGTGCTCTTAACTTTTGAGCCATCTCTCCAGCCTCCAGTTGCTATTTTATAATTTGTTTTTTGTTTTGTCTTTGTGCTTTTGTAGAGGCAGTGCTGAGGACTGAACCCAGGGCCTCACTCACAGGGAGCACAAACTCTACCAGCTGAGCTACACTCAAAACCACTGTAATTTCTAATACCCAGTTATAAAGTGTAAGCCCAGTGAGAAAAGCATTTGCAAAATCAAGTCTCCTTTTTTATTTCATCAAAAATATCTTATTGGGCTGGTGAGATAGCTTATTGAATAAAGGCCCATGTTCTCAAGCCTGAGAGCTTGAGTTTGATCCCTAAGGCCTATATAGGAATAACTATTTATCATGGATTGTCTTATGATCTCCACATGTGTGCACACACAATAATTTTTAAAGCATTTATTTATTTATTTATTTATTTATTTATTTATTTATTTGGGTTGGAGATAAAAATAGGACCTGAATCTTGTTTCTTCTCAAATAACCAACTTTTTGTTTGATTGATTCTTTGTATCATTTTCTGTCTGTTACTCTTTTTAAATGTCTGTTCACTAAGTGTGTGCCTGAAGCCCCCAGAGGCCAGAGGAGGGGGTAGGATGCCCTGAGACTGGAGTTACAGATGGTTGTGAGCTGCCCCGTAGGTGCTGGGAATTGAATCCAGATTCTCGGGAGGAGTAGCCAGTGATCTTAAGCACTGAGCCAAGGTAGGAAACGAGGAATCCTTTCATTTTTTCTGTATTTGTTAAGATAGACAAACTAACATGAAGAAAGGTAAAAAAACTAAAATTAATAAAATTAGGGATGAACAAGAACCATTATGACAGCCACTAATGGAATTCAAAGTCACTGGATATACCTTAAAAATACATGTTACTAAATTTGAAAAAACTAAAAGAAATAGATGAATTTCTATATGTACATAACCTACCAATTTTTTAAAAAAAATGTACCTTATCTGTATGGGTATTCTGCCTGCATATGTGGCCGTGCCGTCCATGTGTGCTCCTGCTGTGCAGGGGCCAGAGCAGGCACTGTATCCCCTAGGACTGGAGTTACAGGTGGCTGTGAGCTGCCATGTGGGGGCTAAGAATAGAACCCGAGTCCTCTGGAAGAAGACTTGGTGCTCTTAACCCTGAACCATCTCTCCAGCCACTGATTTACCAAATTTAAACCAAGATTAGATAAATACTTTAAGCAGATCTCTAAAAAGAAATAAAGTGATTTATTTTAAACACAGTGATTAGAAAAAAAATCTCATTACTAAAGAAGCTCAGGTCCAGGTGTATCTACTGCTGAATTTACCAGGCCTTCAAAGAAAAACAAATAGCAATGCCCCGCAAACTATTCTATTAAAGTAGGAAAGGAAAAACATTACCAAATTCTGCTTATGAACCACATTATCCTGATACCAAAACTATAAAACAACAACAAATAAAACGATAGACCAAGCTCCCTAATGAATATAGTCCAAAAAATTCCTAACAAAAGACTTGCAGAGGTAATACAACATATGTGAATCAACACATATAATCACATAAACGGCTTCAAGGATGGAAATCACACAGTCATCTGGAGAGACAACCTCCTTTCATGATCAAAGTCCTGAGGAAACTCAGAATAGAAGGAGCGTAGCACAACATATTAACAGCTATATACACCAAACTATAGCTAATATTATATTAAATAGGCCAAAGCTCAAAGTATTTCCACTAAAATCAGGAAGACAAGAGTGTCCATTTTCTCCACTCTTACTCAGTGCTGAAAGTCTTACCTAGAACCATAAGACAGGAGGAGGAGGAGGAGGAGGAGGAGGAGGAGAAGAAGAAGAAAAAGAAGAAGAAGAAGAAGAAGAAGAAGAAGAAGAAGAAGAAGAAGAAGAAGAAGAAGAAGAAGAAAAGATAATAATGGGAAAAGAAGAGGTCAAAGTATCCTCCTTCGAAGATGCTATGATTCTATACATAAAACCCTCAAATCTCCACCAGAGAATTCTTAGAGCTGATAAAACATGTAAAGTGGCAGGATTAAAAATTAAAATAGAAAAATCTGTAGCTTTTGTAAATAACAATAGCAGCATGTTGAGAAAGAAATTGGGGGAAAATCCCATTTCTTATCTATCTATCTATCTATCTATCTATCTATCTATCTATCTATCTAT